CTGGTTTTTTGTTTGTTTTGGTGGTACTGGGGATTGAACTTACAGCCTCATGCTTTCTAGGCAGGCTCTAACCAGCCCAGAGAGCATGTTCTTTTGAGATAGGTTATTTTTGAGATATTGGGGTTTATGCCCAATCCAGCCTGCACTGCAGCTCTCCTATTTGTGCTTCCCCAGGCAGCTGGGATGACATACCCATACCACCAGTCCAGCCATTGGTTAAGATGGAGTCTCAAAAACTTTTTGCCTGGGCTAGCCTGGAACTGCAATCTTCCCTATTTCCACTTCCCAGGTAGCTAGGGTTATAGGCTTGAGACACAGTGCCAGCCTACACAGACTCATTTTAAACATCTACACAGCTAGCATGGTGGTTCATACCTGTAATTCCAGCACTCTGGAGGCTGAGGCAGGAGGATCAGGAGTTTGCCATCCTGGGCTTCATAGTAAAACCCTGTCTTAAACACAAGCAGCAAAAACATCCACATAGTCATTGGTCATATGAAGTCAGCCAGTTACTAAAAGACAATTTCCAGATGAGCTAAGAGTTTAGCATGTGGGTATGCAGTGATGGTGGTGCCAGACCACAGCACCCAACACTGGGCTTTTTCATTTTCTATCGCAGACCCTGAGGTGTAACATCTGGTAATAGATTGGATGTTCCATCTGTGTCACTTATTCCACAGGTGCAAACACCTTCTACCTGTCCCTCCCCTTCAGCCTCCATGCTCACCAGGACACCAAAGAAGACCCAGTCTGCTTGTCCAAAGCCTGAGCTCCCATCTGCCTCTGCCATATGCTGCGGCCTTGGGCAGATTTTCTTTTCTATAGAACAGAGATAACAGTCTACCTCAGGGCTATTTTGCTGGAAGACTCAGATGCAGTTATGACTGGGAAGGGATCTTCAAAGCATAGGGCACTGTCTGCAATCCCAGGTGCTGTTAAATTCTGCTGGTGTCAGGGAAAGGTGTGCATGCCAAAAGCAGTTGGTCCAGCTTCCTTCGACTGCCAGCTCCTGGAACTGACCCTCCCATGGGGCACTCATCCTTAAAACTGAGAAGCAAAGTTCAGGAGCACTGAGTGTGGGCGAGTCTGCAGGACAGCGGAAACCCACTCTCCTAATAGCTCCCAGGAGAGCAGTCATCCTGGGGACATTGGCAGTGGACCGCTGAGGCTGATCGTGCAGATGACGGGATGGCCCAGCAAGCCCTCTGCTGGTACAGAATGAACACAGATACATGCATATGTCCAAAAGACCTGCTAGAACGTTCTAGCAGCACTATTTGTGAGAGTCCCAAACAAGGATCTCCCCAAGCCTGCCGGAAGTCACATGGATAAATTACAGTGATGACTACCCAGCAATGAGAACGGATGATACTCCATTATGCCACAATATGAGTGTCTCATGAACACACTGAGCAAAAGAAACCTGACCTCTAAAAAGCGTGTGCTTGTTCCATTCAAATCTTTGCTCTATAACAAACCACTCTAAAACCTCGTGTTCTAAAACAAGAGTTTATTATTTCTCCTGGATGCTAGCTGTGTGGTTTCTCTTCCTGATTTCACCTGGGTTTAACTAACAAGGCTCATTGTGCTGCAGAGATGCCTCGGTTGAAAGGCCCCTGGTGACCCACTCACGACCTTATTCTGGGGCTGTTCTTTTCCATGCAGCCGAGACCACCTTCCTTTGTGCTGAACGGACAGCATTCCTCGGTGAATGCAGAAGCTGCCAAGTGTCTTACACGGCCCAGCCTCAGGGTGCATTCCTCTACATTGCACTGGTCAAACCGAGTCAGAGACCATCCCAGATCCAAGAGGTGTGGAGCGAGACCCCACTCTTCATGGGATGAAGTCACATTTCAAAGGGACAGGCACACAGCAATGGGAGATTTGTGGCCACATTTTCCATCTGCCACAATACATCAGTACATTATGATGCAGTGGTTTTTTTTTTTTTTTTTTTTTACTTTTGAGACAGGGTCTTGCTATGTAGCCCAGGCTGACTTTGTACTCAAGATCCTCTTGCCTCAGTCTCCTGAGTCCTTGGGTCACAATGATTCCACTTATAAGAAGTAGAAAAGCAGGCAAAGGCAGAAACAGAGGCCTGGAAGGGAGCGTGCTGGAGAGTCTTCATTCCTGGGTGTATTACACTGCTGTGCCTAGGTCTCGGCTACTAGTTTGTTCATTTTACGAAAACTCAGTGAGCTTTAAACCTAAAGACATCTGAAATTCCTCATATCATTACTGTTTGAATTAACAGGTAAAAATTACATCGTGTCTTAAGAACAGTGAGGGCCATTTCCCCTCCAGTAGCATCTCAGCTGTTCCGTCACCTCGTCCTCACCTTGGTAGCTGAAGCAGGTACTGGCTGCCTGAGCTCAAGTGGGGAGGAACCCCAAGAGGTTGCCCTGGACACACACGTTCCTCTCACACTAATAAGGTGAAAACTGCACACATCATTTCCACTGACAAGAGCTTATTCTCACACAGGGCCAGCTGGAAATGTAGTCTTAGCTGGGCACCTATGCCAAGGAAAGATGCCAGTTTCAGGGACACAACTAACAGTCCGTTGAACTTTTAACCACGAAGCTGTTTTATTTTCAGTAATGGGGTTGGAATTTAGGCCCTCCCACTTTGCTGTGTCACTTCAGTTCCACCTCTAGCCCTTTTTGCTTTAGGTTATTTTTCAGTTAAGGTCTCACACTTTTTGCCTGGGGCCAGTCTCTTACCACTCACTCAGCCTATGCCTCTCACATAGCTGGGTTTACAGGTAAGTACCACCATGCCTGGCATGTTGGGTGAGATGGGCATCTCACTAGTTTTTTGCCCAGGCTAGTCTCCCAACTGTGATTTTCCCAAACTCCCTCTTCCAAGTACCTGGGACTATAGTTGTAAGCAACCATGCCCAACTGAAGCTGCTCTTTAATACTTATGTCTTCAAGGCAGACATGGTGGCACATGCCTGTAATCTCAGCTGCATAGGAGGAAGAGGCAGGAGGATTATGATTTTGAGGCCAGCCCAGGCAATGTTAGCAAGACCCTATTTCAAAGACACCCTATCTCAAAGACAAAACACAAACAAAAGGGCTGGAGGTGTGGCTTAACTGGTAGAACACTTGCTTACCATTCAAGAGGTCCTGGGTTCAATCAGTACTGGAATAAAAAATTATGTCTTCAAAAGGACACTCAGAAATAGCTAAATTCAGCTGGGCATAGGGGTGCACACCTGTAATTCCAGCACCCGGGAGGCTAAGGCAGGAGAATCTTGAGTTTCAGGCCAGCCTGGGTTATATAGCAAGTTCAAGGTCAGTCTGGGCTGCATACCAAGACTCTGTCTCAAAAAACCAAGGGCTGGGGCTGGTGGAGTGGCTCATGTGGTAGAACACCTGCCTGGCCAGCGTGAGGCTGAGTTCAAACCCCAGGACTAGCAAAACAAAAACAAAAACAAGGGCTGAGGATGTGGCTCTGTGGTAGAGCACTTGTCCTGGGTTCAATCCTGAGCACTGAGAATATTCCCTTTTCTCAGTGTTAAAAGATTAAAAACCCCAAGTGACCTAAGTTGCTTTGCTGGTAACTCTTGTACCAAAATGAAGGCCACTAATAATCAGCACTCATTTTCCTTTATAACTATACAAGCACATTTAAGTGAAATGTGTCATTAAATACATAAATTCAAAGAACATATTCAGTCAGATTTCCAAGGCTTATACACTTTCCTGGAAAAGACACCCAATCTTTGGAAAATTCCTTCCTATGATTTTAGAGGCTGGCCTCTAAAATGGTATGTTCAGTGACTTTCAAAGCTGTATCTTAGATGCTGAGTATCTGATTAGGGCCTATCAGAAAAAAAACTGCTCTGTGAACGTCAGCACTTATTCATCTTTTTTTCTTTGACACACAAATAAGGAATTTTGACATCAAGCATATGAATAGTTCAGAGAAGGAATTTTATTGGTAGAAAACCCTCTACCTCACCAGAGGTCTGCTATTTCCTCCCCCTCCCTCTCATAGCGGCCTGTCCTCCTTCCCTGGGTCCCCTTGCTACCCACTCTTGGGACTTTTTGACTGTTGCCTGTCTTCCTTCTAGAAGAAAGTATTAGCTATAGCACTAAGAATTCAACATATGCTAGGACTTTCCCTGAGACACTTGTCTGCTGGCCCCCCTAGGGACCTCCCAGGGGGATCTCCTTGGAGCCAGCTAGTAACTGGGGGCTTAGAGCGTAGCTCAGTGGCAGAATGCTTGCAAAGTATGCATGACACCCTGAGTTTGATACCAAGCACTGCCCCCCAAAATAATAACTGGTCTCAAAAATACAAAAACAGTATCATGGTGTTTGAATTTCTAGAACACTGAAGTTGTGACATTATACAAAGTCAAAAGGGTACAAAAGGAAAACATTCCAGCTTGAGTCAGGCTGGCCCAGTCTCGGCTCTTCCTACGTAATTTTGGACAAAGAAATGCAGGTCTCAGGGCCTCAGCTACCTCATCTGTAAAATGGGAATATCAATTGGAATTGTAATGAGAATAGATACCTAGCCCTCTGTGGGTGCTCAGTGAAGTAGCTTCCTCTCCCACTACCTTTGTCTTTCCAGAGCTCAAAAATCCCAAACTTAAGGAATCAAATGACCAGAGGCTCACACCTGTAATCCTACCTACTTGTGAGGATCACAGTTCAAGGCCAGCCCTGGCAAATACTGGAGGGGTTTGCCTCCTCCCCCTCTGCCCCTCTAAATGAAGCCCTCCATGGCTTTTGTTCACTCACCCTAACTTTGATCCTTTACGCTGCTCAGGAGCATTGGTTGGAGCTCCAATTCAGCAGACATCTGTAGTCCACTTCCTCTGGAAAGCAGCACTGTTCTTTCCCCTCTCCATTATTTTCGAGGCAACTGAACTGTCCCCACTGCCTTTGTTTCTTTGTGAAGACATGGAGAAGGCCAGTTCAATGACTCTCACAGACAGGGGCCTACCGCTCTTACACCTCCAGGTAATCATTCTGAGCAATGCATTGCATTTGGATTTACCTTAGATTGAGAACTTATGTTAGCCTATGTCTCTAAACCTAATTTTGAACCACTGGATTTAAATTGACCTCTAACACTGATCTGCCTTCTAAAACTACCAGCCCTACATTCCCCTCCCCCAACATAACGCGGAAACACAAAGCCACACAGAGAAAGGAGGGACCGTGACTTGCACTGTCCAGTCGCTGTGTGTTGGCTTCAGAATGTTGCCACTTCCCCCAGCTGCAGCCCTCGGCTGTGGTCCATTGTGAGTAAGTAAATTCCTCTGTGGAAGCTTGCACATAACAGGGAGGTGGTGTCACCAACAGCCAGGGAGGTCAAAGGTCCCGATCCATCCAGAGACAAGGTGAAAAGGCAGGCTGGGGGAGGAAAGGGACATGAACAGTTCAGGCCAAGAGTACAAGCCAGACGTGCATTGTTTAACAATGGGATAAGTTTTGGGAAATGCATCAGCAGGCCATTTCGTTGTTGTACCACATCAGATCACACGCTTGCACATCTAATAGAGCAGCCAGTGCACACTGGGCAACAAGGTGTATATATATATATATATATATATATATGGTACTAAGTGGTGTATGTATGTGCGTGCTATGGTCTGTCATCAACTGAAATGTTATACAGTGTGTGACTACATCAGGAGACGCGATGGCCTCATAAGAAATCCAAGAAACAGGGTGTAGGCTGTACCTATCTAACCCAGTAAGAGGCATGACGTGAAGTCAAAACTTGAGTCAACTCCATGACTTGGACTATAGAGAATGGCACTCGGGCAAATAGGAACTGTGCCACTAAGAAAAATGTTATGTTCACACAATCAGGGCCACAATCAAATGGCACCCTCAGTTATCTGCCCAGAGAACAAGGCAGGGCAGGGTAGAGAAAACAGACAGGGACACTGATCTACAGTTGCTGGTTTTCTTCCCAACAAAGGAGAATGGGAACCTGATGGCAGTCCTGGGGATTTCCAGCCCATCTAGTCTCCCCACATCTGCACCTCGGAGGCTACTCTTGTGAGAATTTCAGGTGCAGACGCAGTGGACAGGGTGTTTGTGCCATCCATTCAGGTCTCAATGCTCATGAAATTTGAAGCACCTGCTCTCCAACCCCCCACAGTGATTACACATGGGCAGCTGGGGAAGCAACTCCATATGAAGGCACCACAGGCCTGCCCTTGCTATGAAGTCTGGCTTGTGGCACAGCGGTTTGCAGACTGCCATTAGACAAGGTCCCACCTCTTCTCTTTGAGAATGTACCCTCTCTACCCCTAGGGGGAGCTGAGCTTCTGCAGGATTGCTGCAGGAAGGACTTGGGTTGAAGTTCTCTAAACTAATGCCTGCCATTCTTGTCTCTGGCCGAGTCCTGTGTCCATGACAGAATAGCAGAGAGGCACTGCTATTCCAGTGCACTTCCAGCTTTCTGGAAGAAAATCATTTAGCACTGATTCATATCAGTTGCCTATCTTCATGGTATAAACGCACCCACCGTCACTAGATTTCATGCTACCAACGGTTTAAAAATACCATAGACACCATTGTCCTCTGGTGTTTGAAGTGTTATGACCTTACTGTGATCTGAAACCACAGCTGCAGGCAGAGATTTTCTGCGATTGTCTTTACTCTCCAACAGCCCCACCAAGAGCTGAGTTTCTCATTTTAGTCCTTGAAAAAGAAATTCAAAAGTAGCAATTCTTGTTCCCTTTATTTATTTTGTGGCACTGGAATTTGAACTCAGGGCTTCACGCTTGTTAGGTAGGCACTCTTACTGCTTGAGCCACTCTGCCAGCCATTTTTTTGTGATGGGGATTTTCAAAAGAGGCCACTCGAACTATTTACCCAGGGCTAACTTCAAAGCACAATCCTCCTGATCTCTGCCCCCTGAGTAGCTAGGATTATAAGTGTGAGTCACCAGCACACAGCTTGTTCCCTTTTTTAGACATTCTGAGGTTCACAAGCTGAACCCTACTGAGGAACTTTAGGCAGAAAGAATGTAGGAAGAACTGGAGTTGGTGGTACATGCCTGTAATCCCAGTACTCAGGAGGCTGAGGTAGGAGGATCGAGTTTGACCTTGTCTGAAAAAAAAAAAACGTAAGAGGCAAATTATGTTTGGGCTTTTAGGAATGAGTCTGAATCATGGCACCAGGGGATGCATGGTGATGACTTCTAACCAAGCCAACCAGAAAAACACTGGCATCTTGGCATTACCTCTTAACCACCAGGGGATTAGCCAGTGGCAGGAGACGTGTGGCTTTGTATATGGTGTGCAATGAAAAGAAAGCTTTAACACTTCATGGATCTTTGGAGAACCACTGACAACAGGCTCCTTACCTCCAGTGTCTTGGTTCCAAATCTTCACCTTGGAGTCATGTGATGAGGTAGCAATTGCAGGCATCAAGGCCAAGGCTCTTGGTAGGAAGACACAGGATGCAACTGTTTGGAAATGCCCCTTATACTCACATATTCTGTTTCTTGTCTGCCTTAAGTCCCACAACTGCAAAGTAATGACATTGACCAGCTCATACATACATATTCCTCTGGCTTCACACACACTCCATTCACTAATATCCATCCTCCCATGATTCACCTGTTCCTCTACCTACCTACTCAGGTAGCTCCATGAACCCGTTGTCATCCATTATACCAACCACCCATCCATCCAATAATTATTTTAGCACCATGTCCCAAACAACACGGGCTAAGGACATGCCAGAGGAGTCTTTGTCTTTTCCATGATTAGGGAAATAAAAGCCCCAGTCCTGTAGCATGACAGAACAGTGCAGGTTGTGCACTTAAGACAACTTAAGAGCTGCCTAATTGAGGCTGGGGATGTGGCTCGGTGGCACAACACTTGCCTAGCATTTGCAAGACCCTGGGTTCAATCCCCAGCAGCAATATGTGCACACATGAAGCACATTTATTGGATGCCTAGTGTCTACCACAAGGTGAGTAATAGATCCTGCAAGGAAGGTACCTGGGTAAGGGATGGGGTGGCCCTGGACCAACACTGGAGCTCCATGCTTCCTAAAGAGCCTGAGCTTCCTTTACTATGGCCACATGTACAAAGAGAATACTGACAGGGTTTGGCTCTTCAAGCAGTCCCTGCTCAGAGTAGGGCCATCAGCAGGCTGGTTCTGTGTTTAGCTCTTCTCTATCTTCAATCCCCTCCCATTCTTCTTGTCTACCTCCAATTTTGAGAGCCCCAGGTTAATGGATGTTGCTTCAAAGAAGCATCTAGAATGCAAAGTATCACTCATGGTATGCACTTGATAGGCCTGAATCATTGCAAAGCCTTTCCATGTAGCCAGCTAAAGCCAGAGAAAGTTCATCAGCCACCAGACAGCTGGATTCCTCGCCATCTCTTACCGTGGCTTCACAGCCTTCGCCCCCAAAGCCGCTGCTGCAGGAGATGCACTTGTGCCCATCTGTGCTGGCTTCACAGTGGGTCTGAATGTGCTGCTTTGTGGGAAATACGTGAGCTACCTGTAGCCCCCTACTGTCCCATAATCTGAAAGAAATTGAAGCAAGAAATGTCTTTGTAGCACATATGCCTGAAGCATACCTATAAAACCCCCCTGATATGAAAGTCTTGGCTGCATGCTGCTCAGGTCAGTCAGAATGGAATGCCATGGCCTATCCCAGCACAGCAGCAGGATCTAGCACAATCTCCAAGATGCTAAGCTGACAGGAAGCAGCCGAGGGAATGACATCTCAGCTCTATCCATTTTGAGCTCAGGTGATAGGATTTGGATCATGCATCTTAATTGTGCAAGGTAATGTGGTCCTTCAGGACACTGCTTTCAATGTACCAGAAGCTATTTCTGTGCCCACAATTTAAACTTGAACAAGATACACAGAGCGTATCATCATTCTAGAACCAGATTCAGGCCCTGGCCATGGAGTGCACTGGAAAGGGTTTTATTTTGCCTCTTGTCTCATTTTTACCTCTTTATCTCATTCTTACTTCTAGTTTCTCATTCTTATTTCCAGTTTCTGGTCATGCTCTCCAGCCTAAGAACTACAGATTTCCTCTGACTCCACTTTCCCAGGCTGGGTAGCTGAGAACCCCAGGGGTAGCAAGTGGAGCCAGGCAGTCTCAGGGGGTGGGACAAGCAGGAGACTGATCTGGAGGTCAGTCTGGACACATTCAGAGCTGCTTCAAAGCCATCTAGGACAGGGGCCTTTTCCTGACCTTATCTCCTGGCATCCAGTCCCTACCCAGATCCATGGGGCCAGAACAAGAGGTCCTAGCACCAGCAAGAGGCAGAGGGGTGGAAGGTCCTGGAAAGGGCACAGCAGTGTGGAGAAGCAGACTGAGAGCAGAGTCAGGTAACATGGGAAGCACAAACCTTCACCAGAAACACCTCTCTGCCGCTCAGTAGCCCACCTGATGGTTTTATCTTCAGAGGACTGTAGTATATACGGTTCTCTGGGGACCCAGCACAGGTGAGTAACCTGGAAAAAGCAAAATCTTTAGCACTTTTCCACACCACGCTATTCTCCTGGAATTCTAGTAAGCTGGCTAATTACCATCTCTGTGCCTTTCATGGATTCTGGGCCAGGGAATTTGACTTAGAGGGAGTTAATGTCAACCTCTGCCTGTGTCACCCCAATTACCAATGGCAGTGGCAGCAGCTGGACCAGCTGTGCACACCAAAGGCTTTTGGTCAGCCTTCCAGGTCAGTCTTCAAGAGCCTGAACCCAGCCAGTGGTGGAGACTTGCAGGTGGGTGGGCAGGAGAGCAGCCCCTGTGCTAAGGTTAGACCATGGAAACTCTGATAGTGTCACAAGGCTCAGAAGAGTGACTGTGGTCTCTATCCCTACAGGCCCTACTGGAAGGCATGGAAAAAGTTCTCAAATCAATCCAGAGTAACAGGATTTTCCTTTTCTCAGCACACACCAGCCTCCACCCACATGAAGGGCATGAGGTAAGTATATCCCGCCATTGACGGTTCTCTTCAAAATTAGGAAAGCAGACCATGACTGAACTTTGATAACTACTAAAGGAACATGGGCCATGTGTCAAGCACACAGACAGGTATTTCATGTACATACAGTATCTCATTTAGTCATCTGAAGAATCTTTCTTCCCATGTTATAAATGAAGACACTGAATCTCATAAGAGCTTAAACAACTTGGTGTGGCACAGCTAAAAAAAATGATAGATTCATGGTCTAAAGCCAGGGCTAGAGTATAGCTCAGAAGTGCAGTGCTTACCTAGCATGTGTAAGGCTTTGGATTTGATCTCCAGCACCATAAAACTCAAACAAAAACTACAATACAAACACATGATTTGAAGCCAGGTGTGACTGACCCTACAGGCTGTGTAATTTACATTCCAGTTTACTGTCAGGGAACAACTGTTCTTCAAAAACAGAGCAAATTATACATCAAGCAAAAGTAATGCTTATTTCTCTGCATGATGTTACAAATACCGAGGAGGCAGTGGCCACCTTATGTTCCACACAGTACGGTCCTGGAAGGCAGGGAGCTGTGTCTTTTGTCATTAATCCCTGTTCCTGGCAGTGTATGATTCACAAAAGAAATGTATAGTTGTATTTTGAAGGAATGAATGAGGACACCATTTTAAATTCCAGAGTAAACTAGTGGAGTCATTTCCTAGAGCAGGAGACTTAAGATATCATCTAACCAGTAACACTAAGAGGCCGGGGGCAGTGACCAGGACCGAGCCATGGGAATCTGGTTGTTGGTCTCTCACTCATCCACATTCTCCCTCTCCTTCTCTGTGCTAGGTACTGAATCCAGGGCCTCACTCATGCTAAGCACATGCTCCACCCCAAGCTACACAACCAGTACCTCATGCTCCCTTGGTTGCCCTTTCTGTTCCTAGTCTGAATTCATACCAGGTTCCTGGAGACAGATGCCCTCTCCACACACTGTCCAGTCTCCACATCCCACAGAAGCAGGGTGTTGTCCCGAGAGCCAGTGCACAGCTGTGATGAGTCTTTGGAAGCAATGGTGAGAAGATAGCTCATGAGATGGGATTACACAGGGGTTCTGGGAAAGGTGTTGGAAAAAGGTCTGCTTTACTTTACCTGGACTCACAGCCAACCCAGTGACTACCATGGCATGGCCAGACAGCTGCTGCCTGGGCTGTGAGGAGCCGTGCAGGTCCCACATCAAGACCATCCTGTCTCGGGAGGCGCTGAAAAACTGGGTGGATTTGGGAATACAGGTTATCTGCTCAGGGGACAAACAGAAACAGAAATAGTGCAGTGTGCTTGCTGGATTGGACTTTGAAATGGAAAAAGGATGAGCTTGCATCACCCCTCTCCAATTTTTAAAAAGGGTAATACCTAAGTTTGAAATCTGCACGGAAAGAATGGGCCAGGCTGGATTTCTACCTTTCCCGATGCTGCACTCCTCTCACCTCTTTATGTGGCAGAAGCCCTCCCCTCCTTCAAAACCTCATCTCCTCCATAAAGCCTCCTCAGACCGTCTTCCATGTCTCGTTCTGCTCCTGGGTCTTGGATGAAGAGACCCTTTTGCACTTAACTATCCCCGTATAAAATGGGAACAGTGGACACAACACTCCTACACACTTACCTCGTAGACCACCTTACGGTATCTCCTACTTTATTCTGTAATGCCGCTTATTTTACTTTGTTTTCAAAGAGGTAGTTTCTTTTTCACACTTTTTTTATTTTTTTGGTGGTACTATGGTTTGAACTCAGGGCCTTACACTTGCTAGGCAGGTTTTCTACCACCTGTGCCACTTCACCAGTCCATATTTTTTATCACATAAAGATCAATTTATCTCTACTTTACCTACAGTTTCTGCTAGTTCCTTTGATCTAAGATGATCACCTCTGTCTCCCTTTTACCATCTGATATACAGAGTCCTAGTTATCAACCATTTATGCATTCCAAATAAAGCTCAATTGGTCATGGTATGCTGTTAATTTAGCAAATTTAGATTCTCTTTACTAATACTTCATTTAGGATTTTTTTATCAATGCGTGCAGCAGTTTGCAAGTGGTGTGCTCATTATCCATTCTTAACAGTACAACTCTATATTGTTGGGTATGGCAATGTACTCCACTACTAATTCAGATTTTCCAACAATGATGTATAAGTAGAACCTCTTGAGATCCTTTTTTTTTTTTGGTGGTACTGGAGTTTTAACTCAGGGACTCATGGTTGCTAGGCAGACACTCTACCATTTGAGCTACCCTGCCAGCCCTATTTTGTGTTGGGTATTTTCGAGATAGGGTCTTGCAAACTATTTGCCTGGGCTGGTTTCAAACTATGATCTACCTGATCTCTGCCTCCCAAGTAGCTAGGATTATAGGCATGAGCAACTAATGCCTAGCTCAGGATCTCTATTATAAGGGGCTGACAGGCACAACCTTTGCTGCTGCCTTGAGATCAGATATGATGACTGGAGTTGCAATAGTTATCTTGTGACTAGGAGGTAAGTTTGAAAAAGGAAATTAAGCTCTAGTGATAGAATAAGAAATATACAAGGAGCCAAGTGTGGTGGCACACACCTGTAATCTCAGTGGCTTGAAAGGCTAAGGCAGGAGAGTCATCAGTTCAAGGCAAGCCTGGACAACACAGGCAATATAGCAAAACCTTGTTTCAAAAAAAAAAAAAAAGGAGGAAAGAAGGAAGGGAAGGAGGGAGGGGAATGAAGGAGGAAGAGAAGGAGGGAGGAAGGAAGGAAAGAAAGAAATATGAAGAGTCTGACTCCCTCATGACCATGAAGCCACCATGCCAAGGTTTGGGCTCTGTTACCTGAACCATATCTAATTCTACCTGATGCAGGTATTCACTAGTCTGCAGTTTTCTTTATATGCTTTGTCAGCTTTTGTACTCATGTTATATTTTCTCTATACCCTGGAACAATTTAAATTGCATCAGATTGCTTTGTGTGTATTTGAAAGAATTTTTTTAAAGCACCAAACTAAACCTAAAACTCTTATGACAGGTGATTCTTTCACACTCTTGATCAATTCAAACCAAGTCCACTCTGTTCTACTGAGTGCCCTTTCTGTTTTTTTTTTTTTTTTTCAGAAGAGGTCATACTATATTGCCCAGGCTCAAACTCAGCCTCCTGAATAGATGGGCTACACATCACACCCAGCCATTTAACGCTTTTTACTTTACATACAACTTTACTTGCTATTACTAGCACTCTAATAATCCCAGGTTCACTTTTTTTCTGTTCTAAAAGTCTTCCATGGTGTTTTATCAATTGTAGTAAATATATATCAAGTATGAAAGCTGCCATTTGAACCATTTTTTAGTGTACAATTCAGTGTCTTCAAGTCTATTCAAATTGTTGTATAACCATCATCACTTCCATCTCTAGAACTTTTTCACCATCCCACACTGGAACTCTACACTGTTCTCCCTCCCCACTCCTGGTACCACTATTCTACTGTCTCTATGAGTTTGCTTATTATAGGTCCCTCATATAAGTAACATCACAATGTTTGTCCTTTTGTATCTGGCTTCTTTCATTAGGCATAATGCTTTCAGTGCTCATCCACATAGTATATAGCAGAATTCCCATTTGTTTTCAGTGCTTGTGGGTCACAGCCAATGCCTCACACATGCTAGGCAAGCACTCTACCACTGAGCTACATGCCCCATCTCAGAACTTCATTCCTTTTTAAAGCTGAATAATATTCGATCACATGTATATTACCACATTTTGTTTATCCGTGCATCTGCGAATGGATATCTGGATCATCTTCGTGTTTGGGATGCTTTGCTCTGCTCTTCCTAGAATAGGGCTTCAAAGCATCAAATGAAGCCTTTGCATTTTTCTTAAGGCTGAATATTCAATCAGGGCTTTGGGCTTGCCAGGCTGGCACTCTACCAGTTGAGCCACACCTCCAGCCCTTTTTGCTCTGATTTAGAGATAAGGTCCAGCTTTTTGCCCAGACCAGCCTGGCCTAGGCTGCAATCCTCAGCTGGGATTACAAATGTATGCCACCATACCCAGCTTTTTTCTTTGAGATGGGGGTCTCACAAAAATTTTTTACCTAGGCTGGCCTGGAACCACAATCCTGATCTCAGCCTCCCTCACAGCTTGGAATGACAAGTGAACACCACTGTACCCAGCTATTGGTTGAGATGAGGTCTCACCAACTGTTTGCCTGGACTGGTGTCAAACTGCAATCCTCTTGATCTCAGCCTCCCAAGTAGCTAGAATTAGAGGTGTGAGTCACCAGCACCCACCTTAATCACTCTAAATATCCACTAATTATTCCTTTATTCAGTTCCAAGTCCCTTTCAGAAGAGTCATTTGACAATTACCTTGGTGATTTCCCGTTCATGTCCTTTGAACCTTTTCACCACATTTCCAGTTTTCCAATTATAGGCCACAACTGTCTGCAGAGAGTCATTAGAACAGTTTAGTTTAGTCACTCCTATCTGATTTTAACTGAAGCTGCCTTTACTTCTTTCCCCCTCACTCGTTCCTGGTAACTAACTCCCTTTGTGTCAAGGGACTTGTTTCAAGCACCAGGGTTTTCTCACGTTACCCTACTTGGAGTTTCTTTTCTATCTGTGTGATCATTCCTCTGTCTCTCCCTAAGACACTGGGCTTGGGGTAAGCAAGGCAGGATAGATAGATGAGGAGACAGGGAAATTATTTTATTTTTAATAGCATTAAAAACACCAGACTCAGAAATCAGAACCAGGAAGTAAACTAGGGGAAAAAAGGGAGTGGGACTGGCAGTGAGGCTCAAGGGGTAGAGCACCTGAATTCAAACCCCAGTATTGCCAAAAAAAAAAAAAAAAAAAAAGAAAGAAAAAAGATGGTGCAGCAAGCTCTCCTCCCACCCTACCATCATGTCCTTTAGATGTTAAGTTATAAGAATGGGAAGACATAGAGAGGCTGGGGCTATCTGTCTGCCTTCCCATTTGAAATGTGAAGCTGCAAGACTCCTTACATAGGTAGACAGGAAAATGAAGGGTGTGTCTTGCAAAAAGTTCTAAACCTCACCTATTGTTCCTGTGTTTTGGGTAGGCCTAGTTCACATCTCCATGTTTTAGCACACACCTCAGACACCTAGAACCACTGTCTAATGGTTAGGGGTTGCTAGACTTCAACTTCATGTGCATTTCCCCAGCTCAGAGCACAGACCAACTCACAAAAGGGTTTGAACTTGTCTCCTAACCCTGCACTTCTAGCAGGAGGTGCTTTTTTCTCTCTTTTTAAATTTCTCTGTAATTTATCCTATTACTCTAAAATAAATCCTTGCTAAAACTTCTACCTTATGAGGCTCTCCTTTTTGTGTGTGAGACACTTTCAAATTCTTTTCTTGTATGTAGATCTCAAGCTGTAGTGATTTTGTTGGGAAACTGGGAATCTTAGGGAACCCTCTCATTCCTCATCTGGTAACTATCATTTCCCAAGGAGAATGGACTCAGCCTGAGATTCTAGCTGAAGAATTCTACATGAGATTAGATCACCTCCTTATTGTATTACACTTTCTTTTAGCTGTTTTTTTTAATTCACTATTTCAACCATTTTTCAGTGTACAGGTCAGTACTGTTAAGTATATTCACGCAACTGTAAAATGGTATGTGTTTTTAATTAAAAAAAAACTCACCCATAATCCCATCTGTCAAAGAGAATCATTGTCCCAATTTCTTCCCACCCTTTTTCCTACTATGTGCTTCAATATTTTAATAAGCATCTCTCTCCCCACACAGTATTTTAAAAGCATTTTCTAGCTAGGTGCCAGTGGCTCATGCCTGTAATCCTAGCTACTAAGGAAGCAGAGATCAGGAGGATTGCAGTTCAAAGCCAGCCCTGGGCAAATAGTTCAAGAGACCCTATATCAAAAAAAAACCTTCACAAAAAAGGGCTGGTGTAGTGGCTCAAGGTGAAGGCCCTGAGCTCAAGCCTCGGTACTGCAAAAAAAAAAAAGCATTTTCTAACTGAATGTCTCAGGTCATTGCGAGTAAGGAGCTTGTACTGTAGCAGACCTAACCCCTGCTGCACCTGACCTAGTTAAGCACTAATTTCCCAATCTGCAAAGTGGAGAGGATGATCCTTGCCCTGTCTACCCCTCAGAGGGGTAAGAAAGGCTTATGCAAATAAAGTTTCTTACATCTATAATAATACAGATTCTAAGATAAAATGTGCCCAGTAAGTTGATTCTTAAATGCATCCTGATTTGAGGTATTAAAGTCTGAAAGTAGGTGCATCTTAGAACTGGTGGACTACAGTATGCAGTGAAGATACCGAAAAGGAGAAGCATCATTAGTGTTATTCACAACAAAAGGAATCAGCATTTTTACTACGGATAATATCTTAGTTATGACAGGTCCTAATATAAAGGACAGAAAACAATGAGATTCAAAGTGACGCTGGGAGGAAAGACAAAACAGCCAAGAGGAAGAATCATGGTGCACACTATGTAGCACGTGGCAAAAGAGAAACAAAAGAGAGTAGGAGTTCCTTTTGCTGACAACTCCTGTGTCTACATGTACTTGTAAAAATGGGGTGGCTGAAATACAGTACCTGCCATTCATGTGGGTGGTCTGGCCCAAGGTTAAGAACCTTGCCTGTGCTCTCACTTAATCCTCACAACATCCTATGAGATTGCTGTAATTATCCCATTTAATGATAAGGAAACTGAAGTTCAGAAAATTTGAAGACTGGCTGAAAGTAATAGGAAGCAGCAGAGTAAGGATTTAAACCCAGTCCTTCTAACTTTAAGCCTGTATGTTCCACTAATCAGCCCTGTGTCTAGAAATGCAAAACCTCCATTCCCTCTCTTGGTATCTTCCCTTTCTGGCATTGGTTTCTTGGGAAATACTGCAAAACCTTACCTTATCTTTTCCTCCGGAGACACAAAGGTCTGAGTTCAGGGCAGCAACCACAGAGACAGTATCTACGTGAGCAGGGCTGTATTCTTGAGAAGATTTATTTTGTATTCTCTCTTCTATAATCCCATCAGGCCTGTTACGCAGAGAATGGGAAAGTGAGAGGGCCAATGCCTGGGAGTGCACAGGGGAGCAAGGGGCAGAAGAGTGTGGGAATGGTAGTAATTCAGGCCTGGCAGGGGAGAGAGAAGTAGCAGAGAAATGAGACCCACTGCCAGAAACAGTATTTAATCTGAAAATGCTCAGAACAATTGAGTGATTAAAACGTAATACAAGGGAATTCTGAAGCCAGAAGTCTTTGCTCACCAAGATTAATCTCAAAGATGCAGGGCCCCTCTTTGTCTAGGTACAGATACTAGCTAATAAGCTGACTGCTTCTTATCCAAAAGGAGACAGACCAAGCTGTTCAGGGAAGGTCAGTAACACTTGCTCTGGGCCTTCTCTTCCTTTAGTACAGGGTCTCACTATATAGCCCATGCTGGCCTTGAACCCAATACACAGTGAGTTTGAATGTGGCATGATTAATTTGGGATCCCAAGATAGGATGCTGCACCTGTATTTATAAGTGCTGTGTTTGAGTTTGCTTTGCAGTTTTCCCATCACAGCTCAGAACCTAAGTGAAGCTTTTGAGGAGGAACTTGCTTCAGTTGGCATCTGAGTGGCAGCATCCCTGGTAGTTGCTGGAAGTTGTGCTCCCTGTGCAGTAAAAAGAAAGCATACTGAGCATTTTATTAGGCACAACAATGGCAGTATGGCGGGTTAAATACTTAAAAAAAAAAAAGGACTAATTAAACATGTGCATTTACTTTTCCTCCTTTCCCTGCTTTATTCTGTAGCCCTGGATTGCTGATGTCAATAAAGCATTAATGAAAACAAAATTAAATTTTAAAAATACTAGGAACTGCCACCACCAGTGGGTCATGCCTGTAATCCTAGCTACTCAGGAGGCAGATCAGGAGGATCGAGGTTTGAAGCCAGCCAAGGCGATAGTTTGTGAAATCCTATCTCAAAAAAACCCTTCACAAACCCAGTACCAAAAAAAAAAAAACAAAAACCTAGGAATTATGTTTAAACTGATTTAAGCATTACACAATGTATTAAGCAGTATGTGGTGCCCCATTAATATGTACCAATTTTCTTATTATGTATTAGCTAAAACTACATTTTATAAATATAAATAAAGGAGGAATTCCAAGATGGCGGATAGAGGGAGGAAGCAGAAAGCGTGCCTCCTAAAGTAAAATCTTGGAGAGACGCTGGAAATACACCTTACAGGAAAAACCACTAAGAAGAGGCAAAACTTTGACCCCTCCACAACTCCAGTCTGCACATAGCATCTCCACTGCACGTTAAATGGAGAAACCAGGAGGACCCCACACCGCCGTCAGATGCCAGCGCCCAGACGGCTTGGGAAAACACGGATCACAAGGTGAGCTAAGCGGCACACGGTACTCCCACAGACAATCCTGGGCCAGATCAGCATAGCCCCCTAGACAGACCAAGCCCACCCAGGGAAAAAAGAGAAACTGAGTAATAAGCAATAACAACAATAAAGACACATAGCAAAGAGGGCAGGGCACCCTGAGCACCGAATGGGGGGAGGGGAAATCCCTCACAACAAGCCAGCTGGAGAAGGCTGGAGTGGGGGCACATGCACAGCAACCAGGAGCTGGAAACCTTGTAAAAGTGGCGGTGTGAGGAAAACTCCACAGCAGAGGGCGGAAGACCCACTTCCCACGTGAGCTGCAAATAAACACGCAGGCCTGAGAAAGCGGGTGCAGTGTCACCTCCCCCAGTGTGCTTGGAAGGGGAAAGCTTGTAGCAGCGGCTCTCACACAGGAGAAATCTAAGTAAACACAGTCTGAGGGGCCAGGTGAGTGTTAAGCTCACTCCTGAGATCTGCATAAATAACGCCACCAGCAACAGCAGGCTGACAGCAGCAGGCAGGAGAGATGCAGCCTCAGACAGCCATTCACTGAACTGTCTCCAGACTCTTTTTTTTTTTCTTTCTTCCTTTGATGAGACAATAACCGAACTACACCTGCATGCTGAAAAACTTACTGAAACTGTATTGCATTTGAACATGGGACACTTTGTGGGGTTTTTTGTTTTGTTTTGTTTTGTGCTGTTTTTTTTTTTTTTTTTTTAGTTTTTTTCCCCTTTGATGAGACAAGAATAGAACTACTTCTGAGACACCATCTACAGGATTAGAAGATGAGGGACGAACACCAAAATTATTAAGACTGAAACTTTATTGCATTTGAACATGGAAATTTTTTTAATATATTTATTTATTTTTATTTTTTAAATTTTTTTCATTTATTTTTTATTTTCAATCCTCTCTCTGTCTCTCTAATGCCTGTTCAGCTTACTGCTGATTAGTACACTATCTCTCCCTGTTTATATCTTTGAAATTTTTTTGTTGTTTGTTTTGGTTTTTTCTACTTGTTTATTTGTTTTTCCTTTTTCTTTAACTTCTTTGCTTTCCATCTCCTCTCACCCTTCCATTCTAAATATCACGACTGTTATTATTACAAGCTAGAAAATACTTAACTGCACACAGTACAGCGACAATAACAACACCAAGGGCAATGACGGGAAGACAGAAAAAACAGGGAAACCAGTTTCCCCACAGCAAAAAATTAGTACAGGAACCAGAGGGAAATGAAAAAAACAGATACTCAGATCCAGACTCCAACAAAATGAAGATAAACTATGCCAAGGAACCCAATGAAGCCCACAAGAATAATCTAAAAGAAGAAATACTACAGGTACTCAATGAGAATTTTATAGAGATGATACTGGATAGGGTCAACCAAAATGTACAGGAGACACTCAAGAAATTCCAAGACAACAAAAATACAGAATTTGAAAAAGCACAAGAAGAAATAAAGGAAACCATAGAAGCACTGTATAAACACCAAAGTGAAACAAAGAACATGATTAATAAAGAGATTAATGAACTCAGGACAAAAATAGACAACATTAAAGAGGAAGTGACTCAGGATATGGAAAACCTCAGAAAAAAGAACGAAACAGAACTGCAAAACAAAACGGAAGGCCAATCCAGCAGAATAGAACAAACAGAAGACAGAATCTCAGAACTCGAAGATGATATGGTAATTGAAGGAAAAACCGAAGAACTGTTAGTTAAACAACTCAAGACCTGTGAAAAGAAAATGCAAGAACTCACTGACTCCATCAAAAGTACAAACCTGAGAATCATGGGCATTGAAGAAGGAGAAGAGGTGCAAGCAAAGGGAATGCATAATATATTCAACAAAATAATAACAGAAAATTTCCCAAATCTAGAGAAATCTATTCCCATATAGATGCAAGAGGCCTCCAGAACACCAAACAGACCAGATCAAAACAGAGCTACCCCACAGCATATCATCATTAAAACAAGTACAGAAATAAGGGAAAGAATATTGAAGGCTGTAAGAGAGAAAAAACAAATAACATACAAAGGTAAACCCATCAAAATCACAGCAGACTTCTCAACAGAAACAATAAAAGCAAGAAGAGCATGGGGTGAGATCTTCTAGGCACTGAATGAAAATAACTTCAACCCCAGGATACTCTACCCAGCAAAACTATCATTCAAAATAGATGGAGCAATAAAAGTCTTCCATGATAAGCAAAAACTAAAACAATATGTGACCACAAAGCCACCACTACAAAAGATTCTTCAAGGGCTGCTGCACACAGAAAGTGAAACCCAACATAACCATGAAAGGACAGGCAGCACCAAACTACAGGAAAAGAAAAAGCAAGAAAGTAGAGAGTAACCTCAACTTAGGTACACACAATCAAACCTTCAAACAACTAAGACAACTAAATGACAGTAATCACCACATACCTATCAGTACTAACACTTAATGGACTTAATTCCCCCATCAAAAGGCACCGTTTGACGAAATGGATAAAAAAGGAAGATCCAACAATTTGTTCCTTACAGGAGACCCATCTCACTGACAGAAATAAGCATAGGTTTAGGATGAAAGGCTGGAAGAAGATTTACCAAGCCAATGGCCCCTGAAAACAGGCAGGAGTAGCAATACTTATCTCTGACAAAGTAGACTTCAAACCTACATTGATCAAACGAGATAAAGAAAGACATTCCATACTAATAAAAGGGAAATAGACCAAAAGAAAATAACAATTATCAACCTATATGTACCCAATGTCAATGTGCCCAATTTCATCAAACATACCCTGAAAGACCTAAAAGTATACATTAACTCCAACACAGTGGTTGTGGGAGACTTTAACACCCATTATCATCAACAGATAGGTCATCCAAACAAAAAAATCAATAAAGAAATCCTAGATCTAAAATATACAATAGATCAAATGGACCTACTTGATGTCTACAGAACATTTCATCCAACTTCTACACAATATACATTCTTCTCAGCAGCCCATGGAACCTTCTCCAAAATAGATCATATCCTAGGGCACAAAGCAAGCCTCAGCAAATATAAGAAAATAGAAATTATACTGTGCATTCTATCTGATCACAATGCAATAAAACTAGAACTCAACAACAAAAGTAAAGACAAAAAACATGCAAACAGCTGGAAACTGAATAACTCATTACTTAATGAACAATGGGTCATTGATGAAATAAAAGAGGAAATTAAAAAGTTCCTGGAAGTCAATGAAAATGAAAACACAACCTACCAGAACCTATGGGACACAGCAAAGGCAGTCCTGAGAGGAAAGTTTATAGCCATGAGTGCATATATTAAAAAGACTGAAAATCCCAAATCAATGACCTAATGATACATCTCAAACTCCTAGAAAAACAAGAACAAGCAAATCCCAAACAAATAGAAGGAAAAATAATAAAAATAAGAGCTGAAATCAATGAAATAGAAACCAAAAAAAACCATACAAAGAATTAATGAAACAAAAAGTTGGTTCTTTGAAAAAATAAACAAGATCGACAGACCCTGGCAAACCTGACTAAAATGAGGAGAGAAAAAACCCAAATTAGTAGAATCAGGAATGCAAAAGCGGAGATAACAATAAACACCATGGAAGTTCAGGAAATCATCAGAGACTACTCCGAGAACCTATATTCAAATAAACTCGAAAATCTTAAACAAATGGACAGATTTTAGATACATATGATCATCCAAAACTGAACCAAGAGGATAATTAATCACCTGAACAGATCTATAACACAAAATGAAATTGAAGCAGCAATCAAAAGAGTCTCCCCAAAAAGAAAAGTCCAGGACCTGATGGATTCTCTGCTGAATTCTATCAGACCTTTAAAGAAGAAACTGATACCAACCCTCCTTAAACTGTTCCATGAAATAGAAAGGGAAGGAAAACTGCCTACACATTTTATGAAGCCAGTATTACACTTATCCAAAACCAGCAAAACACCTCCAAAAAGGAGAACTATAGGCCAATCTCCTTAATGAACATGATGCCAAAAATCCTTCAACAAAATAATGGCAAACCGAATTCAACAACACATCAAAAATTATTCACCATGACCAAGTAGGCTTCATCCGGAATGCAGGGGTGGTTCAACATATGAAAATCAATAAACGTAATAAACCACATTAAATAGAAGCAAAGACAAAAACCATTTGATCATCTCAGTAGATGCAGAAAAAGCTTTGATAAGAATTCCAACCATCTCATGATAAAAGCTCTAAGAAAACTAGGAATAGAAG